GCGCGGAACGGCCCCGAGGCGCGCTTCGGCCCCGGGAAGGGCGGCGTGGACTTCGTGCCCGTGCTCTCGCTGGAGGCCGTGCTGCGCGGCGTGCCGCGGCGCGTGGAGGTCGAGCTGCTCAAGATCGACGCGCAGGGGTTCGACTTGGAGATCGTCAAGGGGGCCAGCAGGCAGACGCTGCGTAGGGTGGGCAAGATTGTGGCCGAGACTTACCTGCCCGGCGTCGCGGAGACGAGGTACAAGGGCGTGCGCAATGAGCTGCGGAGGGACTGGGTGCCGTACATGCGCTCGGTCGGCTTCGAGCTGCAGAACCCGACGGACCGGGTCGGCGCGGAGTATGACGCGGTGTGGGTGCGCAAGTGATCGGGATCCAGATGCGGATTGGGACTGGGATCCGGATCAGGTTTGCAAAGTGCCTCATGAGCTGACGTGGCGGCGGGAATTGCACCGGCCGTTGGTGAGGCCGTTGGTGCCGGGAAACGGCACCGATTGCAGTGTGCCGCCGTCGTATACCCTTAGGGTACAACAGACCTGATGATCTTTTCACTAATTTACCGTTTCCTTGTCCATCCGTTGACGCTCAATGCCTTCATCCGCTATCCAAGTAAACGCTGACACGTGCCCATGTCCCTGCTGCCCGTCATTGTTGCCGGGAGGGAGCAACCCCCCTCCACCTTTGCTGATTCGTGTCAGCTACGAAGAACGCCTTCAGACCCGCATTCGCATGCATTCCCCCCTTTCGTCACGCAACCGGAAACACCTACCGTGCATCTTCCTCACAGTGCCAAGAGGTGCCATTAATCCGACGTGCCAACTTCACACGTCAAATTAATCCCATCACCACGAGACCTGCCCGCGCCGGCCCACTTCTCCGGCCCACTTCTCCCCGCCAAACAGCATCCATCACGCGCGGGGGGAGGCCCACACTGTACACTTGCCGCGCAGGGGCGTCAGGGTGCGCCCCGCACATCTCTGCAGTGCCCGCCTGCAACGCACCGGCCCCTCGCCCAGCCGGAAACCGATCGCCCAACCCCCTCCGATGCGCACTCGGCCGGGAAAGTGGGGAGGGGGGCCCTGACCACGTGCTACAAGCCTTCAACGTGGAGTGAGAGTCGCCCCAGGTAGGAAGTATGGCGGCGTTTGCCGTGCGTTTCGCCGCCGAGTAAAGTGGCCGCTGCATGGAACGAATGGCTCCTGTGAAGCCCTCTCGGCCATCAGCCAAGAAGACGGGGTGTGCGGCCGCCCGGCGGGGGCGCGCGATCAACACGTGCGCGCGGCCACCTGTTGCGCGGCGCAGCCTCCCCCGCGCGAGTGCTGCAGATACAAGACTCATTCCAGCTTACAAGGGCCGCCGTCCGCCGCGCGCAACCGCGGTCTCCACGGAGCAGAGCGCGATCGGTTGCAATTGCTGAGGTGCGGGCGGCGGGTAGCGCGAGTTGCGCGGCACGCCACGCAATCGGGACGCGCTGTCCCCACGTCCAGGCCAGGCCCGTGCGCTTCGGCCGTGCGTCTTCTGAGGGCCGTTCCTAACGAAGAGAACGGTGTGCTAGCACGCAAGCACCCTGACAGTTGGCATGAATGGATTGGTTGAACGGGAGTAAAATTTTTTTTACTCCTAATAACCCCCTAAGAGCATCTCTACCGCGAGTCTATTCTCTAATCTAATGCCAAATTTCCAGCCGCAAAAAAAACGACACTCTACCGCATGTTTCTAATTTATTCGAATAGATTTCTCAATAGATTAGAGCTTGATCTGGGTCTATCCGACCCCCCATTAGACCCAGATCGTGCTCTAATCTATTGAATAGAGGTGACACGAAAGGCCTCCGGATTGGCTACCGGCGAAGCTGTGCTTACCAGACGAGTATACCCGGGAAATTGAACTTCAATGCAAACCCAAACACCCCCAAATGGCATCGTCGCACAACGTTCCCCTCTCTCCGGTGCCTTTGCTCTGCTCTGCCTGCTCTGTCCGGTATGGGGCGCGGAAAGAACTGGGATGCGGAGGAGAATTGTGTTCTCGCTCGTGCATGGATTGCGGCGTCCGAAGACCCGATCGCTTGAGGCGGTTGAGTGCCGCATCGAAGTCGCGGTTGAGATTTCCTCTTTTCCCGCTCCTTGATCCAAGTCTAATGAGAGAAGGAATTGTACCTGGAAAACCAGGCAGCGTCCCAGAGGCGACGAGGTAGGACAGGTACTCGTCGTCACTGGAGTCAGGAGAAAAAGTCGGCGGAGGGGAGTCGTAGTTGCGAGAAGTTGCTATGGTAATAAAAAGGGTTGAACGGCATGAGCGCAGCGGTGATGAAAGGATATGTTCTGCGCAGTAAAGTTGCGCCGCCGCTCTATTCTAGAAAATCTATTCATCAATAGAGCAATAGAGTTACCCAATAAAAATTAAGCACTTTGCGAGATATTTTTGATTAGAGAAGCAAATACAGTCATGCGGTACAGATGCTCTAAACCCCTAATCCTTAATCCCTAAGTCCCCTAAATCCCCTAATCCCTAAATCCCCTAATCCCCTATTTCCAATAATTTTTCAACCAATACATTCATGCCAAGTTTCAGGGTGAGCTGCATGTAGCATTGCAGCATCCTCGGTCCGGGTAACAACAATCGCCGCCGCAGCCGCCGGGTAACAGGCGCGCACCCGGGGCCGCGCAACGGGCCAAATTGAGCACACGTGGCTATGCTGGCAGCGCTGTGGTGCCAAATCGCTCCAGGTTGCTTGATTTTGCCGCTCGCCCGAATGTTACCCCCCATGTTACCCGCTGTGGCACGACGCGCCGGATGTGAAACAGGATGTGCAAATCTGGCCTTGGTCACCGGGCCGGATGTAGGTCGGATGCAGGGTAAAAAAAGAGCGATAGGAGCTCACAGGGTAGGAAAATAAAAGGGGCGATCACATTCTACAACTGGTAAATCTTGTAGGGGAATTGTCGATGTGGCGATGGTTGAGGTATGAGAGGGGAAGGATACTAAGAATACTGGACTACAGTTGGCACTCCGGTGCACTAATTCGGTGGGCGGCGACGGCCGCTCTGTGGCCTCGCCCGCCCTCCGGGTTGTCGGAATATAGCATAGGCAAGAGTCTTTCTCTACTGTGGTCACCCCTCGGCGGACGCCGAGGTTCCGGCGCTGGCGGCCCCTGCCGCCACAGCGGCCGCAGGGCTTAATGGGTGTGACGATGGGGGGGTGGTGTCGGACGAACGGTCTCCAATCATGACCACTCTGTGAATGGAGTGACGTTTGACCACTATGGAAACCTGCTGGTGACGGTCGGAGGAGGGACGAACGCGGGCGTAAGCCAGCCTGGTGACCCGCTCGGAAGTGTGCCAGACTCGCCGCTCTCGGGCGCGATGCTTCAAGCACCGATCATGAAGAGAACGTTCAACGGGAGAATTAGGTGCAATCAGTACAAGAAGCCCGGGACCGCGCGCAAGGTCGGGGGAGACGTGTGGGTGTACGGGGCCGGACTGCGAAACTCGTTTTGCTCAGTGGCGCATTCGAACGGGCAAATCTACGCGACAGATAACGGAGCGAACGCGAAGTTTGGTGCGCGGAGCACGAGCTGCAAGGGGGCCGGGCCGGTTGCTACCGAGCCGGACACGCTGAAGAAGGTGCGGCGCGGTGGGTTTCACGGGTATGCCAACCGGAACCGTGGGCGGTTTGACTGGCAGCAGTGCGTGCACCGACCACCGCAGAAGAAGATACGTGGATACGAGCGGCACATCGCGACGTTGCAGTCGAGCACGGACGGGCTGATCGAGTACACTGCGAACACGTTTCGGGCGCAGATGCGGGGGGACTTGCTCGCGAGCAAGTTTGCGGTGTCCGGGGCCGGGCAGGTGTTCTGCGTGCGGCTGAACCGGCGGGGGACGGTGCGGTCGGTATTCGAGCTGACCAAGCACTCGGGGCTGACGGCGGCGATGTCGCCCACGGGCGAGGTGGTGATGCCTCGCGTGTACCAGGGCAAGGTGGCTGTGCTGCTGCCCAACGAAAAGAACCCCGGGCGGCTGGTGGTGACGAGCGTCAACCCGTTCCGCGGGCCGAAGGGCGGCGGCAACGTGATCACGGTGACCGGGTGGAATCGGCGAGGGCCGCTGACGGCGACGGTGGGCGGGAAGCCGTGCCGCGGGGTGGGCAACTTTAAAAAGGGGCGCAGCTTCACGTGCGTGGCGCCGCCAGGAAAGGGGCGCGCGGCGGTGGTCGTCAAGCGGTTTGGCAAGCGCTCGCAGAGCTTCGGGTATGAGTACCTGTACTTGAAGGTGTGAGCGGGGTGCGTGTAGATAGGACGCGGGAAGCGGGAGCGCGCGGGGGACCTTTTTGTTGTTGTTGTTGGGGAAGTTCTCTCGGCTGTGGTGATGGCGACATGAAGAATCGACGAGCGTACAGAAAGAGTAGTCCAGCGATGTACTAACTACAGTAAATTTTGATTTATTTTATCAGTGTTGGGGCGCCACCATTGGTGCTCGGGGCCCTCTCTCTCCCTCCCGCCCCGTGCTAGCGTCACCCTCTGACTCACCGTCCCTGTGGACTTTTGCCCGGGAGGCGTGTAAGCCACGGCGGGTGACGATGCCGGGTGACGACGCCTGGTGACAGGCGAGCTGCTGCGGCGGCAAAGCTCCTGTTTGTCGGGCGGGGTCTTGCGGGTGGCGGGTGCTCATACGCGGGCGCGGCGGGGCGCGCGGCTTCCACGGGGTCCACCGCCTTCTGAGGGGCCTCTCTCGGGGACGCGAGTGAGGACAGGGCAGCGAGAGAGAGCGAGCGCGTTTTGGGGCGCCTCTCTCCGGGACGCCAGCGAGGACCGGGCATCGAGAGAGAGCGACAAAGACAAAGCAAAGCGTTATGATAGGCCCGCGCCAACGTGCGTCCCCGCCCTGCCGCTATCGCGGCTCATGTGAGCCGCGATAGCGGCCGCGCCCGCTGTGAACAGCGGGCGCGGGCCCCCACGCCAAAAAAAGACCGAAAGAGCCGCGACAAGGCGCGCCAGCGGCGAACCAAACAGGGGTGCACGTGTATGCCCATCGCTTACCCATCCTCCCCTCCCGCCGCCGTGGTCGCCGTTTCTGAACACATCCAGAAATTTTTGAATTTCCCGCACGGGTGGGGACTATAGTCTCCACCCGTGCGGGAAGTTCAAAAATTGAGTACCTGCCATCCATTCCCCTACAAGCGGCACGGCAAGCGCTGCGCCGTACAGCCGACCTTCTCCAACCCGCTGCACTTCCCCCTCGCGGCCAACGCTCGCTCCATCTCGCCTGCCTGGTTCTCTGTCTTCCAGTCGAACCGCTCGCACGCCATCTTCGCTTACTGGCACTCCGACGGCCTCAACCTGCGCCACTCTGCCAACCCGCCGCCCTGCTCGGTAACCGCGCCCGCTCCTGCGCCAACCCCGAAGTCGCGTGCCACCCGCGCGACTGCTCTGTAATCCCCTCCGCGTCCTGCCTCGTCCGCAGAGACCCCACGTTCCTGTCATCCTTCTTCATCGCCGCCGCCGCCATCGTTACCCTCCACCACTTGCTCAACACCGTCCCTTCGTGCCGGCACGTCAAGTCTGAGTGATGACACCGCCTGTGGACGCGGCGCCAGCCGTCGAGGAGGGGAGACGGGCGCGTCCGCGTGCTACAGTTGCACTGGCCGTTGCGAATGCTATGATGGAGACGCCTGCCCCGCTGTCAATGTCATCAATTGCGAAAAGTGCCCGTGGATCCCAGCCTCTCCTGAGGGAGCTCGTGGGCATGAGGAGAAATCAGAGTAATATGCTGCGTGTTGAAGCAGTGATTGAGGCCGCAGTCCAATTGGAAACACTCATCCGCCGTAAAGATCCAGCCCGTTCTGCTCTTGCCGAGCATGACATAGATTTCATGGCTGAACCTCCGGGCGGACGTATTTGGCCGCCTCCAACTAGGAATACATTCGGTTTCATGTCTAGACCCGTGCTAAACACGAGCTCAAACATTGAGCGCGGGGGTGGCCCAGGCTGCCGTCTTGGACCGTCTCAGTCGATCGTCAACAACTTCTTTAATGTTGGCGCTCCAAGAGGTACGTTCGGAGAATACTTTCATTTTAACGCAAAAGCTCAACGCGGTGATTATTGCAGTTCTGACCTCTTATTTTTATTTGCAAGTGGATACTTTACAGATCGGCTGGTTATCGACAAGCGCCCAATCTCCCCACCAAACAATGCGCGACAGGCTGGTGGCAAAGCAGCAGCTGCAAGTGGTGCAGAAAAATCGCGGAAGAGGTCTTATCAGCAGTCGACGCTCGGCAACGCAATCGTCAGCTGCAGAGAAACAGTTCTCGTCGCAGCGCCAACTGGCATCCCGTGCTTAGCCGACGTTGTACTTACTTTTTTTACAAGACCTCGTACTCAGCAAAGCCTTTGATAGACTACAGTATTTCCGAGAAAAACGGCATGCGAAAATGGGCAACTGCTCATTCAAAGTACAAAGCACTAACTGAAGCCTTTTGCGAACATGTGTTTGAGTTCGGCGATGAACGCGATGGCATCGAGCGTGGACTACAGGAATACGAGAGTGCCGTGATGTCCTTACAAGAAAAAGGCGGGCGCAAGGCTGCTGTCACAAAGTCACGGGCGTACCTCAAGAGTTTGCAAGCTCCGCGTGGCAACGGGAGTAGTATAATCAAGTTTAAGAACAGATCCCAAACATTAGCACTCATCCCTGTCTTAGAGAGATTGAAAGCGGCTTCTATCAAGTGCAATTCCTGCAATGATTAATGGAGGATGAAGCCTTGCGTATCCACTCCACTACACATCCTACCTAACACATTTTTTCAAACGCTTCATGACATCTGTAACTGTCCTGCGATGTACAAACACGAGTACATAAATGATGACAAACCAAACGTGATGCTCGTGACCCAGTTGAGGACGAGGAAGCGGTCCACGACGACCGGCAGGCGCATCATGGAGCGCGTCGGGCGGATGATCATGTTGAACATGAGCCAGAGGGCCTTTAACGGGGGGCTATTCCCCACGATGCTGATTTAGAAATCAGTCGGGGACGTCGACGTCAAACTCGTCGTTACCCAGGCTGCGATGGTGCTTGTTGTGGTGCTGGCGGAAGATCTCGCTGATCGAGAAGACCATGGCGACGTTGGTGGCGATGGAGAGGAGGCGGTTGTAGACGGGGTTGCGAAACACAAGCATGTGCGTGGCCTCGTACATGAAGCAGAGGACGCAAGCATTGACGTAGGGCCAAAAAGAGACGCTGCACACGATGGCGACGATGAACAGATCTCACGAGAGGTTGGCCAGGGTCATCTGGCAGAGGATGCACGCATACGCATAGAACTGGGTGCGCCAGTACACATCGTAAAGCTTCCACACGGACGGGTGCTCGCGCAGAATTTTCTCGCACCCCGACACATGCAGCTGCCAGTACGGCTTCGAGACGTGCTTGGGCGCGGGGGTCGGCGGGGGCTGAGACAGCGGGGCGGTGGAGGATATCCTCCATGGCAACATATGTTGCCATCTGGCATGGTGACGGAGGGGAGGGGTGGGGCAGGAGATCGGCGGGCAGGGGGTGCTGCTTTTTGAGGCGGAGAGGGCGTGGTGGGAGGGGGAGGAAGGGTTAGGAGTGGGAATTGGGTGGTGTGACGGGAAGGACAAGTCGAGTGAGGAGCGTGACTGCGTCGGAAATGGGGGGGGGAGAATTCGGGGGCGACCTGGCGGGGGGCGTGTTGCTGTTGCGTGTGTGATGGCGGTGGCGCTACTGAGGAGGCAGGGCGTTGCGAGAACGAGCGGCATGTGGCGTACACGGCGCGCGGGTTGCGGCGCGCGGGTTGCGAACCCTGCCCCTGGGGCAGGGTGGGTTCATCCTCCTTATCTTGGCCTTTGTGAGGGAGCCGGAGCCCCTGAGCGACGGGGTACGACGGCGGGGCAGAGGAAGGCATATGAGAGACATGGAGCGCAGGAATGGGGGTGAAGCGTGACGGGAGGCGGGGCGGAATGGGTACGGTGGAAGTCGGCGGGCGGGGAAGGGGTGCGGCTGGGGCTCGTCGGCAGGCATGAGACCGTGGGGGCGGATATGGGTGGCGGGGGAGGAGGAGTGACACGAGTGTGGGTGGGTGTCGCCGCCGAGGACTGGGGCGGAGGCGTTGCGCTGCAGCAGGAGCGGGTGGGCGGGGGCTGGTCGCGGGTGCCGAGGCGCCGCCGACGCGGGCAGACGGCAGCTGGAGATGCATGGGGTCGGGGGCGGAAGAGGAGAGACGCAGGACCGGGCGCGAGTGCATGTGGTGGTGGTGAACGTGGTCGGCCGGGTGCGGCGCGAAAGGGGACGGTTCCGGGGAGGGGAGGATTGGCGGAAGAGCGGGGGTGGGCGGTCTCCGTGGCGGCGACTTTGCAGAGAATGTCGAGGGGGGAGGTTCCATGAATGGGGGACGCATTTAAGGGCGGGGCGGGCGAGTGGGGCGGGGGAGGGAGTTAGTAAGGTGAGGTACAGAGGAAGCGGGAGGGGAGGGACGGTGGGAGGAATCCGGGGGGGGGTCGGTCATCAAAGTGCGATGGTGGTCACTTGTGGGTAATGGTGTTGACATGGAGGATGGAAGCGAGATTTCCCGTAATTTACACAACGCACAACACCGCCACACCGCCGCATCACCACCGCCACACCACTCGTTCCGCACCACCACTCGCTCCGCACCACAACTCACTTTTCCTTCTTCTCTCCATCTCCCAGTCCCCTCCCGGCCGCTCCCGGTCCCTCGCGCGTCACGGCGCGCATCTACACGCCGTCCGGCGGGTGGGGCCTGCCGACGATCGACCCGGACTCCCTCGAGGCGATCGCGCTGCTGCGCTTCGCGGACATCCCGTTCTGCGTGTATCCCGGTGCGTTGCCTTCGCCGCGCTCTCACGGCCGACCTGGCCCTGCCGGACGCGAACGCGCACCTGACCCCGTTCATGATCGCCGAATCGAGCGCGTTCGCCACGTTCATCACGGCCCGCTTCGGGCCCGCGTTGTCGCACGAGCTCTACCTCAACGACAAGGACTACGCCGACATTTACCACACGCTGCTCTCCAAGGAGACGGCGTTCCCGCTCAACCGCGTGCTGCTCTTTCTCCAGCGGCAGCGGCTGTGCGCGCAGCTGGCCGCGGGCATCGCGCTCGGCGCGCTGTCGACGCGGCTCGGCGACCGCAGCCGCTTCTTTTTCCAGGACGAGCCGTCCGTGCTGGACGCGATCGCGTTTGGCTTCCTCGCGCCACTGCTGTACATCCCGCTGCAGCACGCAGGTGGCCACAAACGTTGTCTCGTTTGTCAGCCGCGTGCAGCAGCAGTACTTCTGGCGCGACGGCGAGCGCCTCGTGGGCGAGCTGGACGGCGACAGCGTGCTCGAGGCGCGGCGAAAACATGTCGAGGACGAGGCGCGGGACACCGCGCCTGACGAGTCGGGCGCGTGCGACTCGTCCAAGTGGGCGGAGGAAAGCAAAGCCGAGGACAAACGGACAAGATGGTACCAGTACTTTGTGTGGGGGTCGATCGGGGTGTCCGCGGCGCACGTCCTGCTCGGCAACGAAATCGAGTTTGACTGCGAATAAAATGAAACCAACAAGACGCCCTCTTCTCGCACGCGGCTCAGCGGATAATGCCCATGTTCGGCATGCGGCGGCCCCTGCGGCTCGCCTCCGTCTTGATCTTCTTCACACGCGCCGTACGACTCGCAATGTAATGAATCTTATCATCGATCTCATCCACCAGCTCCGTCGACCGCTGCGCCCAGCCCTTGAGCACGGCGATCATATCGGCGATCCCCCCCGGCGGCAGCACATCTCTCCAGACGGCGCTGACAATCTGGACGCGGCTCTCCCTCTGATCCATCCTAGCCCTGACCAGGCCGGAGTACACGACGTGCAGCACGACGTCCTCGACCTGTCGCACGGTCACGGTCTCCACGGCCAGGCGTGTCATGAGGTGCCCGTACTCCAGGTCGTTGCTGCCGTCCGCCGGGGACACGAGCGTGAGTATGACGTAATGGACACTCTGGTCAATTCAATGATGATCTGTTTGGTCCAATTTTAATTACAAAGCAACGTCTCCCCTCAAGTCCGCATGTGATCTCCCCATACAATACTGTACTCTCGTATTCCGTCCTCACTCTCGCGACTGCCGGTACAGGACTCGCAGCCCATTCGTTAGTCCCGCGAGCCACACTTGCTGACGCCCGCACCGTCGGCAATCCCATCGGCCTCGACCCCCGCACAGGAGAACCCGCCTCTCCGCCCAATCCGATGCGCGGCGGTAGCTCTGGCGGTGGCACTCGGGGACCCTGCGGGGGCCGGCGTGGTCGATCGGGTCACCAGCCCGACAGGGCCGAGCTAGACGCAGGACTCGCCGCCGGACAAGCGAAGCTCCGTCAGCCGCTCGCCGACTCTTCCATGGCGCGGTACAAAACCACGATCAAAGCCTTCCGCGATGCCATGCGGGAGGTGGAGGCGCCGATCGACGACCCGCTCAGACCTTTTCACCCTGTCAGAAAGAGGAGCAGAGAGCAGTCGCCAGTCGGCCTGGTAATTGCGTTCGTAATGAGCCGCTGTGGATTCGTCGTCGACGAGAGATTTGGCAACAACAAGGCCAGGTCTACTGGCGGCGCTACAATTAGCGCCGTGACAGCAGCGTTCAACCTTCTTGACTGCGCTGAGTGCGGCCCGGGATTCGAGTGCCGTCATGTACAGGGCGACTACGTTGAGCTCGGCGAGGGACGCTTTCGAGGCAACCCTGGCCGCGCTGCACAGCTAAAGAAGGTCGTCAAGCGTCTAGAGAATGATCAAGCAAGAGCGAAGGTCAATATCACCGAGCGTGCCCTTGCCGAGACGCACGAAGACGTCCAGAGTTTGTACAATATGTATATAAAGGACGTCAGTGTTCGTGTTTTGAGAGGCGTGCTACCAACTAAGGCAGATTTATTTGACTTCAAGGCGTTTGAAGCATGCACGCTTAACGTTATGCAATGGGGAAGCGTCGCGCGAGCGGACGAGATTCTGAACCTTGATTTAGAAGACCTTGTCTTCCCTGGTTCTGCTCTCGACTCACCAATATTCGGTGTGTTGCCCTTCACAAAAACGGGTACTGGTACAAGGTACTACAAGTTCTCCAGGGGCGTACATGTGTCTATATGTCCTCTGCATTCCCTGCATCGGTGGCTTTGTCGTGCACTGAGGAGGAAGGGTGGGATCCCCCTCTGGCAGAGCGCGCGCGTTCGGGGGGCGCGTGTAGGGGGTTATCGGGAGACCACCCGTAAAGGACCGGTACGGGGCCGGGCGCGAAGCGCGGTAGGGAAAGTAAGGGAAAAAGAGGCAAAACAGAGCCCAGGAGGGGCGGAGCGGTAGGGACAGCTGTCGCGCGGAGAGCCGGGCGTAGCGGGACGACGCGCGCGGTAGAGACAGGAGGGAATCGGGACGTAGATGGCTCGCAGGGTACCGTCGTGGGACGGGGACCGACGCGAGGCTACGACTCCTTTCCAGAAACCCGAGTTGTAGACCCAAAGCTTCGTGAGGATTTACTTAGGGTCGGACGTCGGCTATATACTAGGCGGCGTCCGAGCGATAATTAATTAAACTAAAATTACTAAATTGGACGACGGCGGCGATGGCCGGAGAAACTCCTCTTGGGGAGGTATGACAACCACTACACGTGGGGAATGACACGATTAACGTGAGGAACAACACGGGTACACGTGGATAGAACTGTCAGTATTTCGACAGGGCTCCATGGAGCTTACACCCGGACACGAGCGGGGGTTTGGATACACGGTTACACGTGGTACATACCTCACTTATGATATTGAGGCATTCCGCGTGTGCTACAGTACAGCACCGCGATTACGCGGGGCGGTCAGTGCTCTACAGGCTTGCTGTGTTAATGGTGCTCCAGATTGGAAGGGGTCCCCTGTTTCCTGCATTTCAAGGCGGCGCTTTGCGTGAAGGAGTGCGCATGTCCCATTCTACTTATAGAGAGACTCTGTCCTACATGAGCAATAGAATTGGAACAGCGGGTCGGCTAACAGAGCATTCAGCCCGTCGCGGAGGCGCCCAGTACCATCACTACGTTCTTGGGTGGGGCCTGCGGGACATCATGATGCAGTTTGGATGGACAGACCTTCAAGAGATGATCAAATATCTTGGTATCGACGACAAGATTAATGAGAATCCATACGACAAGCTGGGTTTTACTTGCATTTGATACTTAGTTTTACAATACGTTAATACAGTAAAGTGGCTATTGCGTGCTAGGGGACAGGGTCGAGCGCGGAAGACTGTCGACGGAGGATTGAGTTGGTCGGCTCGGCGCACTGTGATGAATCAGAGTTGCCGCGAGGGCGGTGAGCTCTGCGGAGAAGGAAAGTGGGCGCGCGGAAGAAGCAGAGAAGGCTATCAGTGTCTGGGAGGCCGGTTGGCAGCTTAGGAAGTCAGCGGGTGAAGGGGGAGGCCTCGTTTCGGCATCTGAGCCGTGTATTTGGGCGGATGGAGACGGGAAAGTTGGACGGTCGGAGGACGCGATGGGTGAGGGAGGTGGGTCGTCGGCAGCCCCGCCTTCATTGCAGGGGAGATTCATAAGATGCCCTAGCAGCGTTGGGATTCTTACTGAGTGTGGAGGCTGCGGGGAGCGCATTGGGTTTGCGCAGGGCATTGGGGGCTTGGTGAGGAAGAGGCGCGCAGGCGCGGAAGGGGGGAAGCAAGGCGGGAAGGAGCGGGACGAGCCGCACGGCAAGGGAAAGGAAGGCGGCGAGGTCTCACTACAGCGCAATTTGTTCAAGGTGTGTCACCACTCTAGCTAGAAGCCCGTGACGATTGTCATTAGTGAGAGGATAAACGTCACTCATGCGGCAAAATGGTTCAATTTTCTTTTCCTCAGTCTTGAAGCCTACTGGCCTGAAACAGAGACATTAACTTGTGGGCAAAGCGACCGGGAGGCCTACGTTCACAGCCACTCACGGATTTCACTCATTGTCAAAGCGTTTTCACTCATGTAGAATAGAGTTCACAAACAGAGGTCGGGGGTACTCGGCGTTTTGCTGTTCTCGTTGATATCTGGCCCTCACTTGTCGACCCTCCTGGCGTGGTAAACTCTCACAAATACACCCCTCGACGCAGTCAAAGGGCTCCATGTGACAGCCCATACGGACCACCATTCTGGACATAAGTTTTTCGAGGGTATTGAGTAGATACTACATCTTGGAGAAGCAGTTTGAGCTGCCTTCCACAGAAGCTTCCCATTTCACGCTTTCAATAAGTCGCAGGGCACGGAGGGGCGGGCTGGTACACCGGGCAGGACGAGGGGGCAAGGGGCGACGAAGACAGGAGAGGTAGCGGAGAGAGCAGGGGATGGCAGCGGCGACAGTGGAGCGGGAGGTGCAGGGAGACGAGCGGAGAAGGAAGAAGGAGCAGGCGGGGTGGGAAGGGGCGAGAAAGCGGGGTTGGACACGCGTGCGGGGGCAGTGGAGGGCCTCCGTTGCCGCTGGTCGCGCTTGAGTTGCTTGCGCCGATCGGGCATGGTGCGACCACTTTCGCCTGCAGCTGAAAATGACGTTGTCTTATTCTTCGTTATGTGTGTGTGTGTGTGAGGCGGCGGCGAAGGCGGCGATGGCGGCGCGCGTGGCGGTGCGGGGGGCGAGCGCGGAACCAGGTGAGCGGGAGGCGGAGCCGCGAGAGGAAGAAGGTGCGGGAGGCGCAGAAGACGGCGTGGAGCGCGAGAAAGAGCGGCGGGTGCGGCGGGCGAGGGGATGACGACTTCGCCGTCGCCAAGTGTGTGTGTGTGTGTGTGTGTGTGGATCCGTTTTATTTTTTGGGGGGCGGTACTGTAGCACGAGATCGTCGGGTATAAATTGGTTGGAAATTTACTTCTGGCCACCGCCAGAAAGGTCGGTAGTCGTGCGCACGCAAAGGCGGGGCGATGGAGAAGGGGTTTCAGCAGGGGTGGTGTGCTTCGGTACCACTCCCCTGCTACCCTTTTCATATTGTTAAACAATATGTTTTAAAATAATGTGTTAAAAATTGTTTTAAATAATGTGTAGATTCATGAATGTCAAACTAATAATTTGTACATTCGCGCATTTTTAATTTTTGGCAGTGGCCCGTTGTATGGGGTGTATGAGCTGTTACCCGCTGCATGTTACCCGTGCTCACGGATCATAGCATCCTCGGTCCGGGTAACAACAATCGCCGCCGCAGCCGCCGGGTAACAGGCGCGCACCCAGGGCCGCGCAACGGGCCAAATTGAGCACACGTGGCTATGCTGGCAGCGCTGTGGTGCCAAATCGCTCGAGGTTGCTTGATTTTGCCGCTCGCCCGAATACCCCCCATGTTACCCGCTGTGGCACGACGCGCCGGATGTGAAACAAGTTGTGCAAATCTGGCCTGGGTCACCGGGCCGGATGTAGTTCGGATGCAGGGTAAAAAAAGAGCGATAGGAGCCCACAGGGTAGGCAAATAAAAGCCCAATAAAAGCGCATGCGACACCGTCCGGCGGACATTCATGCGGCCACGCTGCAAGCGCCGCGCCGCTACGCCCCTCTACATCTACGCCATGTCCACGGCACGAAACTTCTACAGCAACCGCTGAGTCCTGCGCTGCCTCCCGTCCGCGAAAACACCCGTCGCCTCACCTCACACCGTCAGCGACATCGTCACGCTCACCGCCGTCCCCAAGACCACCCCGACCGCCACGCAGCTCTGCGTCTTGCACTTCCTCATGCGCCACTGGGACGGGCTCTCGCGCACCTACGACGACGGGCTCTTCTACGTCTCCCCTGCCACCCTGCTCCGCCACGACCCGGCCCTCCTATCGACCTTCTCCAACCCGCTGCACTTCCCGCTCGCGGCCAACGCCCGCTCCATCGCCCGCTCCATCTCGCCCGACTGGTTCTCCTTGCCACCCTTTTCACTTGGTCGCGAGTTCAATTCTTCATGAATACTAATATTTTTGAATAATGTATTAAACAATGTTTTAAATAGTTTGCAGATTCACGCAATTTTAATTTTTGGCAGTGGCCCGCTGGTATGGGGCGTATGAGCTGTTACCCGCTGCATGTTACCCGTGCTCACGGATCATACTGTAGC